CCCTTGGATGAACGTGCATCCCAAAAAAATGTTGGCCTAAAAATAATTGTAAAAGGAGTGTTTCCTGATTATGAGTTTGCTTTCAAGCAGCAACCGGATTGTAGAAAGAAACAGTGACTTCTTGACTCAAAATGCTAGTTAATTTCCATTCTAAGCAAAATTTTAATTGGGGCACCTGGGTAGCTCTGTCAGTTTAGCATCAGATTCTTGATTTTGTTTCAGGTCATGATCTCAACGTTCATGAGATCGAGCCCTGTGTGTGTGGAGCCTGCTTGGGATTCTCTGTCCCTCTCCCTCTGCCCCTTTCCTCCATGCACATGCATTCTCAATCTCTCAATCTCTCTCTCTCTCTCTCTCTCTTTCTCTCTCGTTCTCTCTCAAAATAATAAATAAGTAAAGTTAAAACATATTTTTTTCATTTCCAGTTTGAGGGGCCTTGATCTTAAATATGAAGAAAAAATTAAATGTATTTGTTATGCATATGCATTTATTGAGAACGACTGATTTATCCAGTCACTTTGTGCTCAGAGAATTCACCTCCTTACACATTGGCCGGAAGAGCCAATTACATAAATACTCTGGGGCCTTTTTGTCAACACTCCATTTTGAGCTTCTTTGACCAAATTTCTACAATGAGAAGCTTACTTCTGAAAAAATTGGGCAGTTCAACAAATAACTAGAACACCCTGGTCAAGTGAAAGCAATACTATTATCAAATTGGTGAGTCTGTTAGTAACAGTGTTAAAAGTTGTCCATCATCAATGGGGGTCATCAATATTAAAAAAATTGTGATGTTTGATATGAAAATACTATATTTTCCCCCAATTCGAACAATATTGTTTGAAAATCTGTTAGGTTTCTCCAGTAAACTCACAGGTGACAGACCAGGTCCGCAATGCAGAATACCAACCGCTAGCATTTGGTTTCTTTTTTTTTTTTTCAACGTTTATTTATTTTTGGGACAGAGAGAGACAGAGCATGAACGGGGGAGGGGCAGAGAGAGAGGGAGACACAGAATTGGAAACAGGCTCCAGGCTCTGAGCCATCAGCCCAGAGCCCGACGCGGGGCTCGAACTCACGGACCGCGAGATCGTGACCTGGCTGAAGTCGGACGCTTAACCGACTGCGCCACCCAGGCGCCCCTAGCATTTGGTTTCTAGATTAGAAGTCATTAGCTATGTGGCCTTGGTAAGTGGCCTAACTTGCTGACAGCTTGAATCTGAGTGTGCACCTCTGAAAAACTGGAACTAAATGACAACATAGGTAAAAAATTATTTCAACAATGTTTGGGGTGATTTTGTAACCTAAACCAAACAAACCTAAGCCTGTTTCCTTTAAAAGTAGACAAGGATATATAGAGATCATAAAACAAAAAATTTCATTTAAAAAAGTATGCTAACTATACTGGAATTAAAATTTTAAAAACTTAATAAAATTGAAATTAAAAAAGAACATATAGATCAAAAGAGGGTTAAAATATTAAATATTAAATGAGATCTCATACTTCAATGGTCCAGCACAATACATATGACATTTTTGAAGTTATCAGTAAAGGGTAGCTATTATAATAAATACTGTATCAGCAAAAATGAGCAAACAACCAGAACTTTATGTTTAGATAAGAAAAATACAAATTAAAATGATATTTTTTGCCTATCAGTTATGAAAAATTAAAAATAACAATATATACTGTTGGCTATAGAATAATGAAATGAGCACACTTTATACTCTGCAGGTGAGTGAGAATGTGAATTGATATAATTTTTTCTAAAGGACAACTTGGCAATGTGTATAAAATATTTAAAAAATAAACATTCTCTTCACTAAGCCATACCATTTCTAGGAATTTACCCTAAGCCATTTTTATTTTATTTTATTTTTAATTTTTTAATGTTTATTTATTTTTGAGAGAGAGACCGAGGGCAAGTGGGGGAGAAACAGGGAGAAAGAGGGAGACACAGAACCCCAAGCAGGCTGCAGTCTCCAAGCTGTCAGAACAGAGCCCGACGCGGGGCTCAAACTCACAAACTGCCAGATCATGACCTGAGCCGAAGTCGGACATTCAACCGACTGAGCCACCCAGGCACCCCTACCCTAAGCCATTTTTAAATGTCCAAAGATATATGTGCACATACATACTACAGTATTGATTATATAGCTAAAACACCCAGATTTTTAAAAATAATTTATACTTTAATTAGATTGTGGGAGAGATACAATGGCCTTTATGCCCTTCCCTCCACCGCTCATGCTCTGTGTCTCTCACTCTCAAAAATGAATAAATGTTAAACAAAAAATTAAAAAAAAACATATTACACATTATGATATGATTTTATTTTATTTTTTTTTTTTTTTAATTTTTTTTCAACATTTTTTATTTATTTTTGGGACAGAGAGAGACAGAGCATGAACGGGGGAGGGGCAGAGAGAGAGGGAGACACAGAATCGGAAACAGGCTCCAGGCTCCGAGCCATCAGCCCAGAGCCCGACGCGGGGCTCGAACTCACGGACCGCGAGATCGTGACCTGGCTGAAGTCGGACGCTTGACCGACTGCGCCACCCAGGCGCCCCTATGATATGATTTTAAAGACCTAAACATAGCCAGTGTAAAACGTAAAATGATGCCAACAAAGTGTGGTTATCAGTCTTCTAAGGAAAGAAAGTAGCTTCTATCCTAATTTAAGGCTTAAATGAACACATATATACTCACATACATAACGCACACATCCGCATCCACACATAAACATACACACACGGAAGCTGATCGTTTCTATTAAGAATCTGTATCAATATTTGCTTTCTTTTTTTTTAAGTCTTTAAAATTTATTTTTGAGAAAGAGAGAAAAAGAGAGAGCGTGTGCAAGCAGGGGAGGGGCAGAGAGAGGGACAGAGAGAATCTGGCTCCGTACCACCAGCATGAGCCAGAAGCAGGGTTCCATTCCATGAACCGTGAGGTATGACCTGACCCAGAACCAAGAGTGGCACTTAACCAGCTGAGCCACCAGGCACCCCTGTATGTTTTTTTTCTGAACAAAGCTTTCTTTCCGTATTTAATTGAATTGTATATACCACTCAAGTGCACAGAGTAAAAGACATAGCCAATTCATGTCTTTGCTTTCAGCTTGCAGTGCTTTACCACGAAGTTTTAAATCATAACATCATTTATCATAGTACTTGAATGTCTTGTGGAAGATTACCTTCAGCTGGGTAAAAAGTCTGTATCACATTTGGGTTGTATAGATATGAAAGAGCTGACAGGTCACATGGTCACAATAGGTCACATGGCTAATAAATGAGTCTCAGAACTTTTCGCTAAGTCAAACTAAAAAAGCTGTGTATCAGAGATCCTATATTGCAATGGCTCCCAGTGCATCTGAAAATGATGATATAAGATCATGCCCTCAACCTTTGAGGAGATTTACAATAAACAGCCAGACGTGTCTTTTTCTGTTTTTGTCTCTAACTGCTAAGTAAGCTTTTATACATGTTGTCCAAAAGCTTAATCTAAGATGCTTCTCAGATCTCAAAGCCAAGAAAGTAGTGTTTCTCCTGATGGTTTGATTCCTCTTAGAAAACAGCCATCATGCAAACCACCATGTTTCCCCTTGGACCTAGCTGGTAGGAAGAATTGTTCTCAACACATCAGCCTTTCTCATCATGGATCTCTCCATTTGTCTTCGCCTTTCCCAACACCCCTTTCTGACTCGGGGCAGAGGTGGGAAGGGACAGCACTGATGCAAGCAGGAAGAGCTATTTCTCCTGAACGACTTAGTGGTAACTCCCCAAGTTAAGGCACACTGCCTCCAACAAGTTTTCCTTTGCAGTGTGTGATCTTTTCAAAAATCCTGTATGATTACCTTCATTCTTCTTATTTCCATTATTTTACTCTGTAAACTGAGACCTGGAGAGGCAGAAGGAGTTGTCCAGAATAAAGTGATCAGTGATGGAGCCGCTTCCAGCTCCAAAATCTATGATTTATTCATTTTCTGCTATCTGTTCATCTGATGGAAAATATACTGGGGTGTGAGTTTTATAAAGAAGAAGCCATCAAACACAAATCTTCTTCCCAGCCTACTTTTCCTGAATTGTCCCTACACTTAGTCATCCAAGACATTCTTCCAGAATTATGATACAAAATAAATAATTTATGATTCCTCACTTTTAGTGCACTAACGCAATTTTCTATGCAGTGAAAATATTCAGTCCCCTAAACAATTCCTCCTTTGTTAACATGACATAGAAAAAACAGAGTTTACAATCTGTAAAAAGTCTTTTGGTGTTGGTCGCGGTTGAAGTGTTGAAAATAAACGTTTCCACCATTTCCCTTGGCACACCGAAGAAATGAAGGAACTACCGAAAGCGAGGTCACCTGACTGTCTCGCACGTTGCTAGCTGCCAAAGGCTACGTCAATTCCACTACATGCAACACATTTTGTGTGTCGCCGGTCCTGATGATAACTTAAACCCATTAGACCCAGCAGCCGACTGAACTTTTAATAAGTATTTACTCACAGTTAGAATCGTATGGCCTAGAAATGTTTTTTAACCAAATATTCTGTCTTTATAAAAGTCAGGTAATTCCAATCTAGCGATGAGCCAGTATCATCCCACAGCATTTTTTTTTTTTTTTAGCGTTTATTTATTTTTGAGACAGAGAGAGACAAAGCATGAATGGGGGAGGGTCAGAGAGAGGGAGACAAAGAATCTGAAACAGGCTCCAGGCTCTGAGCTGTCAGCACAGAGCCCAACGCGGGGCTCGAACTCACAGACCGCGAGATCATGACCCGGGCCGAAGTCGGCCGCTTAACCGACTGAGCCACCCAGGTGCCCTCCCGCAGCATTTTTAAACCACATACAAACTGATTATATTCTTTTTTATTTTTGGCAGCATTATTCTTCATAAAGTAACCAAAGATGCCCCAATTATACTTCTTAAAATAGTATATCACCTAATAAAATCAGGTATATTTTGGTATTATAATCCTTATCCAATACCTTACCTCAGCTCTTAACTCGTAGATCACTCTATCCTTGCCGGTTTGAGATTTTGATTCTTCTTTTATATCTCCCGATATTTCTTTCATTTCATTTTCATGTTGACCAGGAATAATGTTAAACTGAAAAACAAAAACAAAACCAGAAGTTAGAATTATAATCACATGAGGCTCCAAAGGCTGGCTCCAGGATAATCCACATTAGTCCTTCATTTTACTTTTAGTTTAGTTTTTGTTTGTTTGTTTTCTATGTGGATTCTGGCAGGTTTTACCGTTGCTGTGATAATTAATGTAGTCAAATCATTTATTTCCTTACTTGAAAAATTCTAAGTTTTTCAAAACCAAATCAGCAAAGCTTTAGCAATCTAAACTAATCATTTGAAAATTGGGCAAAACTTGGTTACCTCACATACTCCTGATAATTGACCAACTGGATTCTAAATGAATCCAATTAACACTGATTTAACAGTCTTGGATATTTGTAACACAGTACCCTTTGTGACTCTACTTAATGTCTATTTTCTAAGAAGTCTAAAGAGTACATAGATTACAACAGAGACAAACTTGGGTGATGGAAAAAATACATCTATATAACGCTCGAATTAGGAAAGACATATTTATAAACGATGCCAATAAAATGCAATATGGAACTCCTACAGAAAAACAGGGTAAAGAGTGGCATATTCAGATAATGTAAGATTATTCAGCACTAAAATGAAATGAGCACTCAAGCCATGAGAAGGCATGGCGGAAACTTAAACGCATATTACGGAGTGAAAGAAGCCAATCTGAAAAGGTTACTTACTGTACAATTCTAATTATGTGACAGTCTAAAAAAGGAAAAAGTATGGAGACAGTGTAAAATGAGTGGTTTTCAGGGTTGTGGGTAGGAAGGGATGAACAGGTGGAGCACAGAGATTTTTAGGGCAATGAAACTATTTAGTATGACCCTGGTAGACACATATCATTATGCATTTGTCTAAACCCAGAGAATGTACAACACCGAGAATACATCCTAAGGTAAACTATGGACTTGGGTGATAGTAATGTGTCGATATAGGTTCATCATTTGTAACAAATGTGCCACCCTGGTGGAGGACACTGATAATGGGGGGATGGTATGCTTAAGTGGACACAGGGAGCCTATGGCAAATGTACGTACATTCCATTCAATTATGCTGTGAACCTAAAACCGCTCTAAAAAATAGTCTATAAAGTGAAACACAGGAAGGTGAGAAAAATCCTGTAAATACATAGTAAATTTTCTCCATAGCTGTTCTTATAGTTTTCAACAGAAACACAAAATTTGGTAAATCTATAAAATGTGTAATACACATATAACATTGTTTTATTAACTTACATTTTCCCCTAAAATATGTAGTAAATGTTTTCAGAATTTATATTATATAATTTGTGTGCAATCCCACTATAAATTAGAAAATAAAAGCAAACATTATACTACCTATTTAAAATTAAAAATAACACTACTCATAACATTAAGTATGTATTAGTCTCTAGGAACTGAACTTGATATATATTTCCTTAGTTAATGCTAGAGTAATCCTATGTGTTAGGTATTATTATTATCCTTAAAGAGAAATATACCATACTTTTGCTAGGCTTAAGCAACTTTCCCAAATTCACAAAGCTAGTAATGGAAGAAGCAAAAGTTAAGAATGTTCTCGCTAAATTCATTACCAGAGTGCTTAATCATAAACCGGTACTACATCTATAATTATAAAGCTGGAAGCCACTGGAATAGTTTACTGAAAGGCAAAAAGTTTATAGACACATACTAAAAACGAACTACAGTGGAGTTAGGGGGCTGATTTGCCGAGTACAGAGAAGCTCCATGTTCAGAGTTAATAATGTGGAGGATACACCACGGAAGGCAAATGTGGAACAGGACACAATGCCACGGAGTTCGGTACAAGTCTGTCTAGGCACGTTTCACCTCACATTTGTGTAAATAAACAATGTGGTATTAATCTCTGGCCAAAATAAAAATAAAATAAGTCACTTTGCTAAAGAAAATAATGAATTGCGAGGGTTGAATCAAAGCAACAGTTTCTGGGTTCAAGTTCACCAAAGTAAAATCCAACTCATTCTGGTCACTGAATGCCCTTAGTGTAACTTCTGAAATCTTGACCATTAATTCTCAGCAAATTACATCAATCAATAAGCCTTCTCGTTGTCAACCGAACTTCCAATCAACTTTGCCACTCAAAGGAGAGAGGAGGCAGGAAAATAAATTTTCATACACAACAGTATAGGAAGTCCACACTAATTACCTAAAATAATTCCATTTTCATTTTTCATTGACAATGGAAAATCAAGGATCTCTGGACATACGAAGAAACCAAGAACATGAAAAAAAATATCTAAGATTATAAAACAAAATGTCTGACAGAAAAAAAAAAGATAAATGGTATACTTTAAGATATGAAAGTAAATGTTATTAAAAATATAATCACTATCTTTGGGGAAAATGAATATTATACTGCACTCATAAATCAAGAACAGCAATTTCAAAATTTCAAAGAAAAAAGAACAATAAAAGAAAGCTTTTTAAATGTGTCTAGTAATCCTATCCTTTAGAAGACTTTATGAGACAAGTTAGTGTCTCAAGGCTCAGTTCTTGGACCTGTGGTCTTGACACATTTACGCCTTTGGATAGCTGATGTGCACCCATAGCCCTGCATACTAGTCAGAATTCTGACAATCTCCAAATTGTTCTATCCTGTAGGTCTCCTCTGAACTTTGGACCCATGTGTCCAACTTCCTACTTGTCACTTCCGTAGGTATCCAAAACTTAACACATTGCAAAGACAAATTAAGAATTTCCCTAAAATAGGTGTCTCTTCCAGACTTTGCTATCTCAGTAAGGATCAACTCCATCTTTCCCTTTGATCAGGCCAAAAATATTGGATTTATTTCTAACTCTTTTCTTTCTCCGATGTGTCATATCCAAAGTAAAAAGTAAAATAAAAATAATTCAATTTTGCCTTCAAAATATATAATAAATCCAACCACTTCTCGACCTGCACCACTACTGCCCTGATCAACACCACCATGGTCTCTCACATCAGTTATTTTAATAGCTGCCATGATCTTTGCTTCTTCAAGTAGCTCTGTAGTTCCCCTTCCAAAACAGCAATCAAATAAACCATTTTAAAAGTAATGCAGGTCACGTAACTCTGTCGCTCAAATTTTTCCTGTGGCTTCCCAATCCATTCAGAGTGTAAGTCAAAGTCCTTATCATCTGCCTGGTCCTGTAACCTCCAAACCTCATCTCCTACTCCTAGCCTGTATTCTGTTGGTCACTCTGACTTCTCACTGTTCCTACACACTCCAGGCTCGAAACAGCAAAAACAAATTAAATTAAATTAAATTAAATTAAATTAAATTAAATTAAATTAAATTGAAGATGAAAACAGTAAACAAAACATTGTACAGTGAAGGCAATTAAGACAATATAACAAGAAAAAAAGCCTGATGGCCAGATTAATAAAACTATACTCCTCCTTATGAAAACTTGAGTTATTATGATCCTTTTAAAATTATACCCTGAACTCAAAATCACCTTAATTTTGCCACTTATTCACCTTCAGGTTCAGATTAATGGAGGCATAAGTAAAATCTAATTAGGAGCTGAAAAGTTGAAAGCTGTGGATGTATAGATGGTAAAGATTATTATTTGGAAGAATTATGAATGCCACCCACAAGTGATCTATCACATTACTTAAATTGAAAGTGATAGAAATAGAAGGTACCTGAAAAAGTGAATGAGTCAGCATTAGAAAGCATTTTCTAAGTTCAGGTCCTTTTATTTAATATTTATTTAAGTATAGTCTCTTGTTAAGACTCCTTTTCTGAAACTGCACCATAAGATAATTCCAAAATTCCTGTTTAAAATTCCTCCTTTCATACTGCAGTATTTGTGAAAGGTTAAACCAGGCAACTTGTCATCTCTCTGGCTTCAGAAATATCTGCCATAATTTGCTTCTGGAAAATCAGCAACATTATATGTAAATATTTATTCTAGTACATTCAAATTAGCATGGAGTGGAATGTCTTTTTGAAGATAATTCTGGAAAACAAGAATATTGTGTAACATATAAATAAAAATATTTTCTTAGTTATTCAGATCAAGTGGGAAAAGAAAATCTCATTTCAAAAGGGCACAAAAATATAATCTAACACACCCTGTTATTTTGATTCTGCCTCACAATTTTACCCTTCAGAATAATCTAAAACAATTAGGTAGTTATTGCTTATTCCAAATATCTGGCCTTTGTGGGATATTGCATTCAATATTTATGTCCATATTATTAATAATACAACATAATTCAATCTCCTCAAATACCAAATCCACCATTTCTCCCCTAACTCTCAACAAACGATCTTGCAGCTTCATTCATGGAGAAATAGAAAAGCTATGCATAGGAAAGATCTTCAACCTCTTGTAACATAATCTACAAATTTGCATGCATCTGTACAAATCTTTTCTTCTTTCCTCTTGTCAAGGAACTTAAATACCCTTCCTTCCTAGAGTTAAAAACTAAACATTCCATTTGTAGTCAGGATTTAGTACCTTTGGAGTACTTGGAAAACTCATTCTAAGAACTGTACCTCTCCTGGATTTTCAAGATCTCTTAGTTTCTCTTGCATCAATATTTAATAGCTTAATAGTTTCCATTTAGGTTTGAAAGGGAAATATGAGAGACCAAGTGTAGAAGACCACCCCATACCTCCCCTCCTGCCCCATCTCTTTTCTGGTTTTGAACTGTCCATTCCAGCTCTTTGTTTCCTCTTACCTTCAACTGTCATGCAAGAGCTGCTTGCCCTCACGGTTTGGTTTCCACGTGCTCCCCTCTGACTCATTTCCTCCATTGGCTTTGGCTGCCCCCGTTCTCAACACTTTCCAATATACAATATGCAGCCTGTCCTTAACTTGAATCTTTGGCAGAATTTGATACTGTTACCAATGTCTTTGTTCAAGTACTCTTTTCCTCTGGTTCATGGGAAGAAAGGGTTTTTTTCCTTATTTTAATGTTTTATTTATTTTTGAGAGAGACACACAGAGTGTAAGCAGGGGAGGGGCAGAGAGAGAGGGAGACACA